CTACCTGGTGGACTAGTATCACCCACAACAAATAACTCTTTCTTCATACACCCTCAGTCATTATTCACACTACCTGGTGGACTAGTATCACCCACAACAAATAACTCTTTCTTCATACACCCTCAGTCATTATTCACACTACCTGGTGGACTAGTATCACCCACAACAAATAACTCTTTCTTCATACACCCTCAGTCATTATTCACACTACCTGGTGGACTAGTATCACCCACAACAAATAACTCTTTCTTCATACACCCTCACTCATTATTCACACTACCTGGTGGACTAGTATCACCCACAACAAATAACTCTTTCTTCATACACCCTCACTCATTATTCACACTACCTGGTGGACTAGTATCACCCACAACAAGTCATGGTTTACTTCTGTTGCCTCACTTGTCAACATCATTCACCACCAACACGTCTTTACCCAATAAATCACCGCCATGTTATCCACTCCTTCGCATACACCACTGCTTGCTGGATGTTCCTTCCCTCTCACTTCTAGTCCAGTCTCCATCTCAACCTTCCTTCTACCACACACTGTCCCATTCTCCCAATTTGTCTATTCCACTGGACCATCTATCCAATACTTCACTGCCAGTTTCATCACTCACTATACTGAGACCTTTACTCCTTCACCATCAAACTCCTGCTGTTTCCCATTACTTGTAGGACACTATGAGTGGATGCTGCTATCTAATGCTATTTCCTCACCAAGAAATATTAGTGAGTCAATACAGTATATTGCTTGTGATAGATACACCACATCACACTCCCTCCCTCCCATACACCACAAGACACTGGCTGCACTACACCATAAAACACTCCCAACTGCATAATTTATAAACATTATCCAACTCTAAAACTAGATGCCAATTTTACTGAACAAATATTATTATTATTATTATCATCACACGCATTACATTTAACATGCCACAAATATTGACCTTCGACAATGACCTTGACCTCTTGATAAACTCATTTCCTGTTCTATAATTTGTCTATTGACCCAACATTCACTCCATGCTAGGTCAGTGGCATCACAACAGGGGTCACAAATACAGTATTAAACACAGCTGACCTTAAACTTGTGGCCAATTTGTACTCTACATAGACAGAGATGACAAAAAGACTCCTGTATTATCTGAAGTTTTATAACAATTAATGACCGATAGAGAGACTGACCCTGTCATTTTGTGTTTCAGACAACCAGACAGAAACTAGGAGCAGTTTAATAAAGGAACCATCATGTCTAAGAGTCGGCAACTACAGCCCTGCCAGGTGATGCATCTCTCTGGGGACCACAACTACAGTTATTTCGTTCATCCATCTCAGTCTCTGCCTTACCCTGGCCTGACTACCCTCACTTTTACCCATTAATACCAATAATAAGCTTCAACTTTAAATATCTTGTATCAATCGACCTTAAGGAAAAAATTCTTGTAATATTTGTATCTAACTCACCCAGGTAATCTCTCTCACCTGTACCAACACCCAGGTAATCTCTCTCACCTGTACCAACACCCAGGTAATCTCTCTCACCTGTACCAACACCCAGGTAATCTCTCTCACCTGTACCAACACCCAGGTAATCTCTCTCACCTGTACCAACACCCAGGTAATCTCTCTCACCTGTACCAACACCCAGGTAATCTCTCTCACCTGTACCAACCCAGGTAATCTCTCTCACCTGTACCAACACCCAGGTAATCTCTCTCACCTGTACCAACACCCAGGTAATCTCTCTCACCTGTACCAACACCCAGGTAATCTCTCTCACCTGTACCAACACCCAGGTAATCTCTCTCACCTGTACCAACACCCAGGTAATCTCTCTCACCTGTACCAACACCCAGGTAATCTCTCTCACCTGTACCAACACCCAGGTAATCTCTCTCACCTGTACCAACACCCAGGTAATCTCTCTCACCTGTAACAATAGAGGGGAAATATTTAAGGTAAAACATAAATATCACTTACGAACCATTTAAAATACTGCCTCTGACTCGTCCAGTTCAACACGTCTTCAGTCGAAGCCGAGGCCTCCGTCATCCACAAAGGTCACCTTGCCAGTGAGCCACCACACCACTGTGTTGAATAGTATATACACCAGTGTCAGGTCATAAAGGACATACAAACTTAAAGCAACAATTTTCAATTTGTAAAAGTCTGGAAAAGTTGTTCCTATATAGAGTTAATCAAACTCCAGCATATTAGTCTTCTCTACCATATCAGTAAAAGATGGCACCAATATGCAGCTCTTAACTAATATATAGTGTACTAAGCAGAGTGACTGATGGGGTAAAGTATCTAGCATTGCAGCCTGTGGCCATTTAATGCCAAAAATGAAACTCATAATTTTAAACTATGATATAAATACTGTAAAATAAAACCCTATTAAGTTTAAATATCAAAATTAAAATATAAAATCCCATATTCATTTAAAGATCATAAGCGATTAAGTACAGTACCTCCATTACAAATAAAATTTTAAAAAGTCCACCATCAGGTGCTGAACTTCTCTCTGTGAGCACCTTTCAGATGGAGGAGCCATCCACCTGCGGCACTCAGCCAGAAAACAACTCCCCAAGTCACCAGCAAGTGTCTCACAGTCAGTGGCACTAGGCAGTCATTACAATAATGCTGTGGTCCTCCGGCCATAAGGAAACTGTGGGTGAGGTGAGGGAGTTAGGCGTGGGTCGGGTCGTATTGCGTCTCTGTAACAAAGCGTGTTCGGCATTCGGGCCTTCGCTGTTGAGCGGCAAAAATTGGACAGTGATTACATAAGACCATCAAGATCGTCTTAGTGATGTGAAAGTGTAAATCGATGTAGGATATTTAATGCTAGACGCGATTGTATTTTTGAAAACTCAATGTCCACCGAGTTGGAGATACAGCCCAGGTCAAGACGCCTACAACCACAAAATCATTGCCATGTGACAAAGCTTTTATTTAATTTTTTGACGGAGTTGTGGTCACGGCTGTGATAAAGGCCAACCAGGGAGTGCAGTACTGTGCCTTTAGTTAATTCAGTTCATAGTGTCATCAGTGACCGCAGAAGAGGTTGTAAATAGCTTAAAGTGAATACAAACTGGCAAGCAAGCTGGAAAGGCACCAAGTCGTGTTATAGGTGCCACAGAGACTTTAAATTTTATTTTGTTTGTGTGCTTTCTCATGGACTGAAACTGTGCCTACAATACACCATTCACAGGGAGCTGCAGTGTACACAGTGATAGCTATCCTAAAAGGCCCAAAGAAAGTTTTATTTTATTTTTCTGTGTTTCTAAAGGAATGAGCGAGTATATAAAATCCGTTAATCATAGCAAAATGCAGTGAACATAGAGATAGCACATAAATACCGACAAATGCCTCAGTGAACTGAAGAAAAAAAAGAGAAGAAAACAGAAGACCAGTGTAAAGGCAACAGGGGAGGCAGAGGGCAGCTTAGTACAGTACTGTTTGTTTCTCTTTATTTTTAAATAGGTGTAGATCTATACAAAGTCTGTAACCCCCCACCACAACAACAACAACAACCATGAAGAAAATGATGATATGTGATTACTGCGGGGGATGACGGATATGGAGGATACAGGCCTGACCAATGCAACGTTTAGGAAGATGCTAACTGCCGTAAAGCAGGAAGGCTGTTGCTGGTATTGCCCTGACTGCACAGTCAAGGTGAAAGAGGCGATTGGGGCACGAGTTCCCTAGGGACGAAAATAGATGAAGCTGGAGCCTTGCTGGCTGCCAAACTAGAACAAATTGGGACAGAGGTCCTTGCTAAGACTGAGGAAGTAGCCCACAGAATGGAGGTGGTTGCTAAGAGGAGTTATGCTGAGGTATTAGCAGGGCTACAGGAGGTGGAGGAGAGTACTGCAGGATCAGAACAAGTTCTACAGCAGCTAGGGACTCTGAAGAAGTGTGTCGAAGAAATGAAAATTAATGAACCTACTGTGAGGGGAGAGGAGGAACAACGGGAACGTTTCCAGCACAGGAATAATGTAGTAGGTTTTGGAGTCCCTGAGAGCCAAGCGGAGGAAACAGAGTAAGATAACACATGATAAGATGCAGTTTAAGAATATTTGTACAGAGGTTCTGAAGATGCCATCAACCCCTCAGTATGTGAGGAGGCTGGGACAAAAGCAGGGGGATAAGCCTTGCCCCTCAGGATCACACTATTGAGTGAGGAGAAGAAATGGGAGGTTATTTGGCAGGCAAAAAACTTAGCAAGGCATCTCGGAGTGTATTCATTCACCCAGATCGCACAGTAATGCAGAGGGAACAGCACAGGAAGCTCCTGCAGGACTTGAAGCAGAGAAGGGAAGAGTCGAGGAGGAACAGGGACGGGTGTACATGGGTTATATTCAGGGGGCGAGAGCCTTGTAAACAATGACATTTCTACCCACACCCTGCAAAATACAGTGTACTTTGTAAATGCTGCAGCTTCTGTGAATGGGGGGGGGGCGGGGGTGTTACTACTAAGAGCAGAGACGTTACAGAGAAATAATTCTGGTTTGAATGTCATGTACTGTACACTAATACTAACACGTCCCTTGATAAGAGAGAGGAGTTTGAAACACTACGGAAGGTACACCAACCAGATACTGTCGGAGTTGTAGAACTGTTGTACAACAACAGGAGAATCGACCCAGAGGAATAAGTTCAGTATTGCTGGATGACTCATTTACGAGCCTTTCTTAAGAAACTTGCAAGAGGGGTGTGGTTATCTATGCTAGGCAAGACCTTAGAGCCAGCCAGGCGAGGGTACAGGGAGAGGATGTTTTTGAAGAGTCCAAGTGGTGTCAAATTAAACTAAAGGGAGGGGACTTACTTATTGTCGGCCAATGTCGGGTGTATCTACAGATCCCCAAACTGTGACCCACTAAATCAAAGGAACTTAAGAGCCTTAATAGACAATGCGGCGATGCTCAACCCTAGCCACCTACTTATCATGGGGGACTTTAACTATGGCGACATCAACTGGAGAAACGAGTTCACCCCAAATGACTTGAATAACCCTGCTACTCTTTTTGTAGAAACTCAGAGAAAATTTTCTGTTCAAAATGTTAGAGGCCCGACACATTACAGAGGGAAGCAAACACCCAAGCCACTAGACCTCATCATAACAAACGAGGAGGGAATGGTGGCCAAACTGGAACATTTTGCCCCAGTTACCATATAGTGCTGTCTTTCAGATTTAACTGTTACCTAGTTCAATATAAGGCCAGGCCAAGGAGCAAATATTACAAGGGGAATTACAATGGGATGAGGGAAGAGGTGTGGGGTATCAACTGGCCTGTCTCATTAAGGCACAAGAACGCAGACACTACGCTGAATATCATAACTTCAACAAAATTTATGGTATGGCCCCACATTTCAAAACACAAGGCATTGGGTCAGGCTTTCCTCCTACTCATTGTTTTAGTGCCTCTTGATTCACCCTATCACAGACCTTCCCCACAACCATAAATGCTGGCCATGACAGTCCTGTTTTTGCAGTGTAGTAAGCAGCTATCAAACAGGGAGGTACTACCGCCTGGGAAGATATTGGAAGCGTAAGGTGTTGTCTAATGGTAGACCCTGCTGCTATATAGCATCACAAAATTTTTTGACTAAGTCCCTGGTTGCTGAACTGACTTTCTGCCTCATTTACAAACAATAGCAGGGTCTCAATTGTTTCTCTTACTATTGACAACAACATACATATATTGTTAAACACTTTTGATCTTTATTTTTATTTTTATTTTTTTTCTTTATTATTAGTGTTACTGATATTATTTTTATCATTATAAATTTATTATTTTATTTTCATTTTCTTATTAAAATTTTATTTACTAGGAATTATTATTATTTTTTACATTTCCCCACCCCCCGACCAGTGACCTGTGCCAGAGACCACTATTACCAGACAACACTGTTTACTATAAACACTGAGCCAAGAGATATATCACTATATAACGTATTGGTAAAATAAAGAGCGGAGCATATATCACCATTATACTGTATAGCCTTTAACACAGTGGTTCTCAACCTTGTTTGCCCCATGCACCCCTTTCACTATATGTCAGAATGTCATTCCCCTTCCTTTCCAAGATTGTCTGCCTCAAAAAGTGCATTCCAAATAATATGCATAATACTGAAAATCCTTTATTTTTTCCACATTAGTACATATACATTCCCCCCCTGAAAACCTGAATTCCCCCCTGGTTGAGAACCCCTGCTTTCACACCACGATACATATACTCCACTTACCTACACATTTTCCAAACCTGGATAAATAGTTCCTCACTGATTTAGCTAAAGATAGGAGCACCTCTGGGCGGCTGTTCAAACTGTCGACAAGATAATCCACGTTTAGGTCACAGGACACAGCACCGGCCACGTCCTCCTCTCACAACAGGTGGTTCAACATTAACCCGTCGACTCGTCTCCTCACTCACGGGTTGCCAGCGTTTGATAATAAATCAGTATTAATTCCTTAAATCTCACTAAAATCAAATTAGATTTTATTACCAGTATATTATATAAAGATTTATTAATATTAGACTATTATATATGCATTTATTCAATTAATTAGACGCTAAATACGATGTTTTACATCAAAAAATAATACGTGATTCGGCACCTCAAGCAGACCAAACTATCGTGATGACTGTTCATGGTAGTTAAGTTGTAAACAAACTAATTTCCATTATTCTTATGTATAAATATATCCCCATGAACTAAGCTCATGTATTAAAAATATTTATATGATAATTTACAAAGAACTACGAAACTACCAATCATTACCATACATACTTTAAGGCGGTTATTGTAAGGCGTTTTCGATGCACTGAATAGCTAACGCGTTAGCTATTCCTTATACGCAGACGCTGCTTTTGATTTGTGCGCATGACACTCGATCAAAGACTATAATAAGAAGGACGGGAAAGCGTCTAGCTTTACTGATAAAAATGAGAGCCACTGAGCTCTGATCAACACCATCTGTTGACAACGCAGCTAACTAAACCCCCGGGGCGCGTTAGGGTAGCATGCCCAGGTTAATAATAATAATAATAATTAACGGTTTATTGAAAGAGCTTGGCAGCCAGAAGGCTGAGAATATACAGTTACATATTTGGGGAATGGGTTTCGAATTACAAATAATATACAAGTAACATAAGTGATACAAATAAGACATATAATAACTAGATGGGGGGTGAGCTTGGGTTTAACATTTTCACGTTGCTAGGTATTATTGATCATATACAATTTAATGTGTGATATTGTATGTGTGTGTGTGTGTGTCTTTCTTTCCATAATTTTCTATATATTTCCTCCACTATTTCTTTCCGTGTGTCTAAAAAACAGTTCTCCTAATTGTATTGTTTTCTGAAGACTGTTGTACAACGGTTATTCCCAAGACGCATTACAATGTCGTAATTTTTAATGACAGTCCGGGAAAGCTAGCGCGTTAGCTAACGGTGCTTCTTAAAACGCCTTACAATAAACAAGCCTTTAGGCCAATTACAAGGCATCCACGGTCAGTTAAGGTTAGGTTAGGTTAACACCTCCCTCCCTAGCTCAACACCTCCCTCTTTCTCCTCTCCGTCGTATCTCTCTATATCCGTAGTTCGTAATTCTCTCCAACAACACCCGCAGCTGCCCACCATCTACGTCTTATGAATCCTCCCACTAACCTGCCGCTTGATGTGTTGAGCCATTGGAGTAAGGCATCACTCCCGCCATAGTTCGTCTTGAAGTATACACCCACAAGTTACACAAATATCAAGTCTTGTTAGGTCGGGGTGGAGGCGAGAGCACTGAGTTCATCACCTATTCACTGCACTGCTGGAAACAAATTAATAACACTCAAAGTCGATGTCTACTTTGGAGCCAACCGAACCACAAAGATTGAACCAATGAACCCAAGGGAGGAGGGAAGGAGATGCCAGGCTCTTGTTAACACTAATATGTTATTTTAACACGTTGGCTCACCCTTATGTATTAAATTATTAAGTGCGAAGACGTATCGTTCACGTTACCAACATACTTGAACAGTATTTTGTTATATATATGAAAGCAGAAACATGTATTCACAAGTGTTAATATTTACGTTAAAGTCAGCGGGTATATTTGTTATGGCAGCCAATAACATGACAACAAATAGTGTACTTTATATACGGTAAACTTATGTACAAGTAAACGACAAGACGACATGACCATTTTCTTCCCTTTTTCCCCATAACGGTCATTTATCCCCTAAAAAAAAGATAATTTCCCTGCACCTGTCAACACTGGTCCCCTGCAACAAGTCATAGTTATCATTGTCTTCCCCTAACATGGATTATTTACATGGTATTAAATATCAATGGCTCGAACCCGATCTCTGTGCGTCGTCATGAACGGAGGAGCTTCCAGTACAGCCAACTTGCTGATATATGTGAAGACAATAATGTATATGACAAATTATTTAATTTTTCTTTACTAGGATAACTTTATACCCGTAATATTAATGTTATTGTTTGACAGCGAAGCCATACCTCTTCCAACATGTCCACCCACAAGATTCGTTTGTAATATTTACCCAGGGCTGGATTAACCATTAAGCAAAATAAGCACGATCTTAGGGCATCAAGGGAAGAGGCCCACACATTAACTGAAAAAAATACATACATATATATATAATTTTGAAATCTTTCCTTAAAATTTTAGAAGCGTTAGAATGTATAGCCGAAGACCAGTCACAAAAGGGAGACACTGGAAGAGAAGCAAATAATATGCAAGAGCTAGAATTCATTTTATGTTGAATTTTTGGAATGAGATTTTACAAAATTTTCATAGAGTAAGCCAAGTTCTACAAAATGAGGATGTGAACTTAAAAACATGTGCAGATCTGTATGGAGCATTAGCTGACCAACTGTGCACTTCACGAGATAAATTTGAAAGATATGAAGCAGTTACAAAGGATATGCTACCAGATGTTGATTACAAGGCAGCTCAAACTCACAACCGTATCAGAAAGAAGGTACCCAATGGCGGAGGTGCACCAGGAGTATATCTGAATGACAGGGATAAATTTCGTATCACCACCTTTTACACAATTATTGACAAACTTGAAACTGAGATGAGAAGAAGAGGAGAGATATATAAAGAAATAGCAGAGAGGTTTTCTTTTCTAAGTGATGTGCCACATAATGCCACTTCATCATCTACTGAAATTGAAAGGTATTCTCAGTGCTGTCATAAGCTGATTGATGCTTACCTAGAGGATTTCAACACTCATTTCTCAGCTGAGCTTCAACAGTTTCACTTATATGTGCGCCATAAGTTCAGTGCAACAAAAAATGTAAAAACAAGATTCAGTCATGCTGAACTTTATAAAATGATTGTAGAAGACAATATTGAGTGTGCCTTTCCAAATGTTGATATTAGCTTTCGTATATCTTTAACATTAATGGTCACACATTGCTCAGCTGAGAGTTCATTTTCTAAATTGAAGTATATTAAAAATCCCATCAGAACAACTATGCAACAAGGCAGGCTGGATGCCTTATCTCTACTAAGTATAGAAGAAGATGTGTTACATAAGACTAGTTTTGAGGATCTGATCAAAGACTTTCAATTAAAAAAAGTAGGAGAAAACTTTTCAACCATAAATAAAGTGGACGTATACAAAAATAAACATTATTTTCCATCTTACTGTAAATTTTGTTTAATTTCGAAAAATAACATTTTATTTTATGGTTATTATTGTTTATATTTTGAATTACATATATATGGGGGTGGGGGGGCACCAAAATCTTTTAAGTGCTTAGGGCCTCTAAGGGTCTTAATCCGGCCCTGTATTTACCGCTTTGACTTCCCAGTACAGCACAAGTAGGCCATAAGTACCTGCAGGAGTCGGTACTATCTGGGGAGAGGTATACAGATGAGACAATAGCAACACTTGCACCTTTGTGTTAGGCCTCTATTGTCCGGACCACCGACCCAGCAACAGTCAATGGTGTAACAGAGAAATGACCGACCACCCAAGAAGCTGACAGGCCGACCAGTGAAGATGGAGACTACTTGTGTTACCCCTAGTGGTCCATTTTCTATAAGAGGATTACTGACATAAACTCAGTGCTCCATTTTCTGTGAGAGAGAGAGAGAGAGAGAGAGAGAGAGAGAGAGAGAGAGAGAGAGAGAGAGAGAGAGAGAGAGAGCATACAAATTTTAAACATGCTTACCTCATTAGAAAACCTGTTTTTGTATGTCGCCCTAAACTTGATAGCGTATTACAAATTGGGGGCAGTAAACTCCCTCCACCTTGGTACTGAACCCTGCAATTATCGCTACTGTAGTTCCTTCCTTACGTGTACAGGCGAACGAAAACTCCCAGATATAAGTGAAGTGTTTTATATTATTTGTGGACAAGAAAACGAAATCCATGGCCCTATTGATTTTTTTATTGTTTTTTTTTGTTCTTGCGTGTGCACCAGTCTGTGATGTGCACCAGTCTGTGACACGTCCAGAACATGACTGTCTACTCTGTCATCACGGGATGTCGACGATCTGGCAAACGGACGGAGCCATCTTTTTGCCAATTAAAGTTGAAGTATGTCATCATCTCTGTATTACGGGGTCTGCTGGCCAACCTGTTCACCGTCACACCACGACCAACCCCTCCCTCCTAAAACACACTAAGATTTCCCCCAGGGCCCCTCCAAACCCTCCCCAGGCCCCTCCATCCCCTCCCTATGGTCCCTCCAACACCACCCTATGGTCCCTCCAACCACTCCCCAGGCCCCCTCAACCCCACCCCAGGCCCATCCAACACCCCAGGCCCCTTCAACCCCTTCCCAGGCCCCTATCCCTCCTAAAAACACCCTAAGACTCCCCAGGCCCTCCATCCCTCCCTACGGTCCTCCAACACCACCCCAGGCCCTCCAACCCTCCCCAGGCCCTCCAACCTCCCCAGGCCCTCCATCCCTAACCCTCCCCAACACCCTGCCCCAGCCCCTCCATCCCCTCCATCCCTCCTATGGTCCTCCAACACCACCCCAGGCCCCCTCCCCAGATCTCCCCAGCCTCCCTCCAGCCCTCCCAGGCCCTCCACCTCTCCCCAGGTCCCTCCAAACACCCCACTTCCCAGGCCCCTCCATCCTCCTCCTAAAACACCCTCTCCCCCTAGCCCTCCATCCCTCCCAGGTCCTCCAACACCACCCCAGGCCCCTCCCATCCTCCTCCTACCCCCCTCCCCAGTCCATCCCTCCTATGGTCCCTCCAACCCACCTCCCAGCCCCCATCCCTCCCTCCTAAAACACCCTAAGATCTCCCCCAGGCCCTCCCCCCTCCCCATCCTCCCCCCGTGGTCCCTCCAACACCACCCCAGGCCCCCCATCCTCCCTCCTAAAACACCCTAAGATCTCCCAGCCCCTCCAACCCCTCCCCAGGCCCTCCATCCCTCCCTATGGTCCCTCCAACACCACCCCAGGCCCTCCATCCCTCCCCCTCCTAAAACACCCCTAAGATCTCCCCAGGCCCTCCAACCCTCCCCAGATCCATCCCCTCCCCTATGGTCCTCCAACCCATCCCTCCCCATGGCCCCAACCCCACCCCAGGCCCATCCACACCCCAGGCCCTTCAACCCTCCCAGCCCTCCATCCCTCCCAAAACACCCAAGATCTCCCCAGGCCCTCCATCCTCCCTATGGTCCCTCCAACACCACCAGGCTCCAACCCCCTCCCCATCCCTCCCTACACCCAACACACCCCAGGCCCTCCATCCCCCCTCCTAAAACCCCCAAGATCTCCCCAGGCCCCTCCAACCCCTCCCCAGGACCTCCATCCCTCCCATGGTCCCTCCAACACCACCCATGGTCTCCAACCCTCCCTGAGGCCCCTCCCCACCCCAGGCCCATCCAACACCCCCAGGCCCCTTCAACCCCTCCCCAGGCCCTCCATCCCTCCCTCCTAAAACCCCTCCAACACTCCCCAGGCCCCTCCATCCCCTCCCTCCCCCACCCCAGGCCCATGGCCCCTCCCCCTCCCCAGGCCCTCCATCCCTCCCCCTCCTAAACAGGCCCCTCCAAGATCTCCCCCAGGCCCCTCCAACCCTCCCCAGGCCCTCCATCCCTCCCTATGGTCACTCCAA